TTGGTTTTTTTGGTTTTTCTCTGGTACCAGGAACCGAACTCACGACCTTGCGCTTGCCAGGCAGGCGCTTTTGCCGCTGAGCTAAATCCCCAGCCCCTATATGTATATATATATATATAAAAGAAAGAGACTTAATTTTCCTGGTTAAAAAGAAGAGAATCTTCCTTGCTCTACATATTTAAAAAGAAAGAAAGGAAGGAAGAAAGGAAGGGAGGGAGTGAAGAAGGAGGAAGGCTGAAGGAAGAAGGAAAGAAGGAAGGAATGAAGAAAGGGAGGGAGGAAGATTGGTATAACCTTTTTAGCAGACATTTACAATTATTCAAGTAACAAAATGAGCACTATGCAAGTATTACAGGCTAGGTTTGGTGGTGTAAACCTTAATCCCAGCCACTCCAGAGGTTCTCAGGCAGGAGGATCAAAAGTTCAAGGCCAGTGTGGGCCATTTATGGAGATGCTGTCTCAAAATAAGAAAAGGGCTGGGGGTGTAGCTCAGTGGTATAGCACTTGTCTGGCCTTGGGTTTGTTCCCCACTACAGGGCAGGGGGGATTATTACATGTAAGTATTTTCAAGGTGCTAAAAACAGATGAAGTTAAGCTCCCTCCCCAAAGCTACTTCCTATTAACAGTTAGATCAGAAAACAAGCAAACATGTAATTAATGTATGAATGCTGTGAAAAAATTAGCCATTATAAGAACCAGAAGAGGAGTATTTTAGGCAAAGAGAACTGAAAATGTATGAACTAAGTATAAGCATGTACTTCATGTCTGAAGAACAAAAAGCATACCACTGTAGCCACATCAACACCGAAGAAGGTGGTAAGAGGAGTGGACGGAGGGAGACAGCTGAACCACAAAGGGCTTTGAGCTGGGTGTGGTGACACGTCTGTAGTCCTAGCACTCGGATGATGAGGCAGGAAGAGCATAAATTTGATTCTAGGCCACGCAATTTAGTGAGACCCTGTCTCAAAATAAAAATGCCTGGGGATGTAGCTCAGTGCAAAGCCCTGGGGTTCAATCCCTAGTCCACAAATAAAACAAAAACAAGCAGGGAGAGGTAGCCTGTAATCTCAGTACTGAGAGGCTGAGGCAGGAGGATCACCACAAGTTCCAGATGAGCCTGGGCTACACAGTACATTCAAGGTCAGCCTGAACTACACAGTGAGACTCTGCCTCAAAAAACAGAAACAGAAACAAAACAAAGCAAACAAATAAAAAAAATGCCCCCAAAATATAAAAGGCTTTGAGACCAAAGTAAGGAATTTGGTTTACTCTGTAGCAACAGAAAACCATTACAGTACCATGATCTGATGCTTTTAGAAGATGGCTGTGGTACTTCTCATTGTGGGAAGCATGAGAGGACAGTACTGGAAGCAGCATGTATGGGTATGGTTAGACAAACATGTGCATCAGGGCGGTAGCAGGAAAGGCAGTGGAGAGCAATTATATTCAGAATATAAGTAAAAAGTAAAAGCACAGGGTTTCCCCCTCCCCTCAGTGCCTCAGTGCTGGGGATTGGACCCAGAGCCTCAACTTGGTAAGAAACAGCTCTACCACTGAGCTACAACCCCCACCCCTAGAAGTCTAGGGTTTTTTTGAATTAGGTCTAGGTAACTTGATGAAGGTGGTATCATTAACTGAGATAATAATGATAAGGGAATATAGCAACAGTTAACATTAATCAAGTACTAGTTATATGTCAGGTACTATTCTAAGCCCTCCCTAACTCATTCAACCCTAAAACTCTGTAAGATTTATGTATAGCCTTATTATGTATATAAGAAAGCTGAGCCTGGGAGCTAAGGTCACTTATCCAAAGTTGCATAGTGTGTGTTACAGAGAAATTGGATGAGAATTCAAGGAATCCAGTACCAGTGCCCATTCGTTTAACCATGCACCAAAATGAAACTTGGAAGACCGAGAGAGGTGTAAATTTGGGTGTTCTGAACTTTTAAAATGTACATTCCCGTTGATGTCACAATTTTATTGTGGAGATCTATGGTACAGAGATGCTAACACATACACAGTGAGATGTATTAGGATACTCAGTGCTACATGTTTGCAATAGCAGAAACTTTAAACTACTGACATAGTAAGAGAACAGTTCCAAAAACTACATAATTACAACAGAATCCCAGGCAGGGTAAGAAAGAGTTCTTGTATGATCTTATAAAGAAAATATCTAAAGTACTTTTTAAAAAAAGTTCATGGCTGAGCACTCAGGAGGCTGACATGGGAGGATCACCTCAAGTTTGAGGTTGGGGTGGGATACCTGGTGAATTTAAGGTCACCCTAAAGTACACAGTGAGACACTGTCTCAAGTTTATGAATGAGGAAAATACTATGTTTTTTACTATAGAAGATTTTCTGTATCATATTTTGTATGATTCAGATAATCTAGATGAGAACCCAGTCTATATCACATTTTAAACATACACACCTCAAGTAATCAAGATTTCTAAGTAGCTTAAAGTATCCTTTTAGCCTCTACCGTTTTTTCTTTTTGATTATTTTGAACAAGACAGGAAATCAATGATCAAGACTTCTTTTCAAGTTTGTGTTTATAATAAAATTTTAAAGAATTTACTTAGGTTTAAGAAACAACAACGCTTAGTTTTTTTATGTGTTCCTATCCAAAACATTTTAAATCAGAATTTGAATATTTTTTGCAATATGCAAATACTCATTTCAGTTTTAAAAACAAAAAAAATTTTAAACAGCACATTATGCATATAATACATATGTTTGTATGGATAAAGTATAATGGAAAAATATGAAGAACATTTCTGGCTGTTTCTATTGGTACTAAGTATAAAGGGAGGAATAATTTGGGGTAGGTAGGGGGAGGAAGGACGTTACTTAGGAAAAAAGAGACAGTACTTATAGTCTAAACTGTGCAAGGATATAATTAAGACTAAGAGCCCTGCAATAAAAGCCCCGAAAAGGAACATCTCAGAACAAAGTGAGTGGAATAAGTCCAGTACAGATACACACAGAACATCTTGGCTTACTCCCTTAACGTAGACTGGCTAAGGTTAGTATATATACAAAAGGATTGGCACACTAGATATGTCAGCCTTGATATCTAGTTAAATATAAGGCCTTTATATTTAGTTGCATATAAAAGCTTACTAAAGTATAGTGTCTTTCCATTAGAAGCAAAAAGGGGGCTGGGGATTTAGCTCAGTGGCAAAAGCGCCTGCCTGGCAAGCGCAAGGTCGTGAGTTCGGTTCCCGGTACCGGGAAAAAAAAAAAAAAAAAAGAAAACCCTCTTCCATTAGAAGCAAAAAATGAAAGAAAAATGTCATTATGCTATCGGTTAGGTCACAGTGGTGGCAAACCCATAGCACGTATGCCACAGTGGGCCGTCTGTACCACTGAAAGCTCTAAAAGGTTCACCATCACTGGGTTAGGGTATAAGAGAGAAGACTTGGTTTCTAAAACTGGTTCTATTATTAACTAGCAATGTGGCATTCAGCTAAATTATTCTATCTAATCCTCATTTCTCTCATGTATAGAACAAGAAAGCCTAAAATTCAGTTTCTAAGGTTCTTTCTAGTTCTGTAATTCCAAAATTCTATTCTATACTTTCTTGGTTTTTTTTTTTCCAAACTGGGAGTCGAACTCAGGACCTTGCACTTGCCAGGCAGACCCTTACGCCACTGAGCTATATTCCTGGCCCCATTTTTTACGCTTTTTTTGTTTTTGTTTTTTGGAATTGGGAATAAAATTCTATTCTATAAGACATAATTGATAAAGAGTTTCCAGTTTTTGTTTTGGTTTGGTTCTGGGCACAGATTCCAGGGCTTCCGGACTGAGCTACATCTCCAGTCCTATTTTTTGTTTTTATTTTGAGACAGGGTCTTACTAAGTAGCTAAGATTCCCAAGCTGGGCTTAAACTCATGATCCTCCTGCCTTAGCTTTGCAGACTACCATGCCTGCTAAATTCCCAGGTTTTCAGAAACCACATTAACACCAAACATTTAATAAAATTATGAAAGTTCCAAGCAAACCTGTGCCTGAAGTAGTCTCAGCTGTCTGTCTTGCTCTGTGACAAATCGATATGCATCTGGAGATAATCCCATCATTCCATTATCCGACCCAGTCTTGGGTGTGTGTGCGCACAATGCACAAGGCTGTGGGTTATATGAGTCCAGGTGTGAAGGCCTTGTCACAGGTGATGGTTCTGTATCATTATGGGAAGAACAATTATCCATGCCTCCCTGAGGTCTCAAGGCTATAGGACTACTTGAAGAATAGAATGCATTTTGGTACAGAGCTGGACATCCATTTGGGTGAAATAATGAATGTTTTTGAAGTACTTCAGACTGCAGATCTTGAATGGACCCTACTGTATTTATTCCTTTCCAAGAATTTATTGGACTATATTGAGTATGACCATAATGCTGACAACAGGTACAAACATTTGTGGAATAATAAGATGGCAGTGACTGAGGAGGTATCTGAAGTTCCCCCGGTCTTCCGGAATGATGGGGCGAAAAGACAAAATTGTGTGGGTGGGACTGTGAAACAAGAAAAGACTGCCTAGAATGAAATGTGGAGGGTCTTTTAGGATACTCTTCTTTTTGTACATTCCCAGTAACAACTCCTTGAAGCTTTTCAGATACATCAGGAGGTAGCACATTAAGAGGAGACGGTTGAACAATGTCGTTCCCAAAATGGGGGTTCCCTTTCTTACAGGTAGCTGGCTGTTTTACTTTACAGTGCTTCAAAGAAGCAGTACTCTGGGTTAACTGATTTGGTATCATTTTCAAAGAAGTCTCCCCAGCTTCAGCTTCTGGGCTGTGTTTTGCATCATGAAGGTCAGGTTGCATGGGTTTCAAGTGCTCAGAATGGCTGATCAAAGGAGGATTTTCAGGATTCATCAAAGCCAGTGTATTAGACAGATGATTTGATTCTTTGAAATTGCCATCGAATACAAGTGAAAGTTCAGGAACTGATGGTTGGATCTTAGAAATCTATAAATGAGAAAGAAAAAAGAAACCTTTAGGAGAAATATATGCTTTGCTTTCCTTAAATCAGTATTTCCAACATAATATTCAATTATGAATTAAACATTGTTCATTATTAGACCATCAACATATTTTCTGGGCAACTTATATGGTCATCGGTAAAAATACAACTGTGGAAAAATAAACAAGGTCTTGGCCCTCAAAGAATATAGCTAACCATCTCCCAAACTTCTTTAATAACAGAACTCCTTCTGCTGGATAACTGATGAACATTGCTTGGGTCACAGAACATATACAGGAAACTGTTTCAGAAAAGTTTTTACCCTCACTCTGAAAAACAAATTATCACAGGCAGTAGCTTCAGCAGATATAACAGTAAATGTTTATGTATCTTAAATAACAAGGTATCTTTTCCAATGAATATTTCAAAATATTTTGTTACAAATGAAGCTACTCTGTTTTTTCTACTGAAATAACTTAAGAGATGGAAGAGAACAGGAAAGTGTAATCAAAATACTCCCTATGATGAATTTGTTATACCTTATTATTAATTTTAAAAAATCTTTCCTATTCCTTTCTCTTCTAATGTAAATAACTAGTCCAATTAAAGTAAACGACAATTCTAAAATAACCCACTGGCTTGCAGCAATCAAGATATTATGACAGGTTATTAGTAATTGACTTCTTTTTTTGTGTGTGTGTGTTCTTGAGATAGGGTCTCGCTATGCAGTTCAGGCTGGCTTTGAGTTCACTTTGTAGCCCAGGCTAACCTCAAACTCACAACGATCCTCCTGCCTCGCCTCCTAAGTGCTGGGATTACAGGTTTACAGACTTGCACCAACATGCTCAGCTCAGTAATTGACTTCTGCATGCAAATAGAATGTTTTTTTCTGAATATAGTAACAAAAACCAATGTTAAGGTTTGGTGATTGTATAGATTGTTGAGTTTATACAATTTTAGAAAGCTCTAGGGCTGGGGATATAGCTCAGCAGCACAAGCACCTGCCTGGTAAGCACAAGGTCCTGAGTTCGATGCCCGGTACCAAAAAAAAAAAAAAGAAAGCTCTAATTCTGAAATCAAACTTCCTGAATTAGAATGCCTGCTTTACTACATATACTTTGTGATCATGAGCAGGTATCTTAACCTATCTATGCCACAATTTTTTCTGGGAATAAGTATATGTATTTACTATGTATATATTATTACACATATGTGGATATACATTATTACATGAATAATAATTATATATATCTGTGAAGTATACAAAATGTAATCAAAATATACAGTGAATGTTTAAATAAAAATTTACTACACGTTGCTATTAACCCCCCTTGAAAATATTCCCTGCTCTGCTTTGGTTTGAACACACTTATTCTATACCTTTGCCACTTTCTGAAATGATTTTGGAAGTTCTCTTTATGACTTCATGAGGTATGATCAAAAACATGGTAAAGGCGGTCTTATAAAAACACTATGGTGGGCTGAGGATGTAGCTCAGTGGCACAAGCACCTGCCTGGAAGCGCAAGGTCCTGAGTTTGATTCTTGGTACAAAAAAAAAAAAACCACTATGGTGTGTTCTTATTCATGTTATTTAATGCATCTGCCACCATTAGACTTCTAGATCGTCTCCAAAGTAAAAAATGACCATGAAAGGTTAACATTTTGAATCAATTTAGGACACCAAGGCAACCACACAATGCAGCTAGACACATGGAAGAAGACTTCCTGAACCGCTTTAGAAAGGGCTGAGAAGGGGCGGGTGTGGTGGCACACACCTGTAATCCCTGCACTCGGGAGACAGAGGCAGGGGGATCTCAAATGAGTCTGAAGCCAGCCTGGACTGTATAGTGAGCTCAAGGACCGCCTGAGCTGCAGAGCAAGACCCTGTCACCCCCACCCCAAAAGAAAGTGGCAAAAAATGATGGTATAAGCCTGTTTGCAGTGAGGGGCAATACTGGCAATGTGTCTTTTATTGTAATAAAATTTTAAACATTTGCTGTTTTTCAATCACACCTTATATACATTTCTATATAGATAAACCGAATAGATATAGGTAGGAAGCTGGAATGATGCTTAAACAAGTTCTAGGTACTGTTTAGTAATTTATTTTATTTTTTGGGTGCCCCCCCCCCCAGTTCCAGGAATCGGACTCACAACCTCGCGCTTGCCAGGCAGGTGCTGTGCTGCTGAGCTAAATCCCCAGCCCCTGTTGAGTATTTTAACATGAAGAAACTTTCAGATATCTAACCACAAAGGTGAAATCAGTTCATTATAAGGTCAGTGATACCTTCTGACTCACTGGATGAGGACTAGGAATTGGTCTTGGAGAAAAGTCTTCATCTTCAACACCAGAGTCATGATCACTTATTGGTATTTTTCCAGGAGCTAACTTTTGGGAAAACCTATAGAGCAGAAGAGGAGACAAGAAAAACATTCAGACCATCTAGGATTTCTACCTTCTTCCTTTCTGAAATGAAACAAAGTCCTTGATAAGTAACACCTAGATCTGACAACCACAAGGCTACTTTTAAAAAAAAATCAATGTTAGTTGACAAGAAAAGCTGGCCTCCTCAGACTCATATTTACTTAACTAACCTTTCTGCTTGATCATGGCAAGTTCAAGCCTACGTTGTTAACGTCATGATAAACAATAGTCAGAGTTCTTTCTGACTAAACACGATGAGGAATATAGAAATAAGACTTGTTATGTACTTTAAAAAGTCTATCATCAACTGTATTAAACACTGCTTTTAGTAATCATTATGGTAAAAAGAAAAATGATTGAAAAATTATGTTTTCCTATGTATTTATATCTGTGGTGGAAAAATACTTTGAGACATCACCTCCTTTTTACTTAGCTGCAGTCCTTGTACCACAGATGGCACATTCTAGCAGAACACAGAAAAAAATTCAGTGTCAACACAGAATTTCAAAAGTGGAAATTAGAATTTAAGACCCTGAATTCACTGAAATTGGGTTTCTATACCTAGTAGAATAATAAGGGTTCAAAATACAGTAGTATCTTGGTTCACAAACTTAATTCTTTCCATGATTTGGGTTGCAAACCAAATTGGACAAGAACTAAATCAAATTCAAGTTGACCTTATGGGGAAATTTGATTTGGTTCAAGTACCACTGTAGACATTACATCCAGTTACAAAAACAAACTACATTTTTATTATACATATGAGCTGTGGCACAGAATATCAACTACATATTTACTTACAGACAGACAGACAGACACACACACACATACTACACGGTGAGATCCTGTCTCCAAAAAAAAAACCCCAGAAATTATAAATGTTTCTCTACTTGAGCTTTTTATTCCTTAAACATTCAAGAAAATGTTCAATAAAACTTTTAAATTTCGGACAATTTCTGGGTATGGTGGCACATGCCTGTACTACCAGCACTAGGGAGGCTGAGGCAGGAGGATTGCTTCAAGTTTGAAGCCAACCTGGGGTACAAAGTGAGTTGAAGGCCAGCCTGAGCTGCATAATGAAAACCTATCTCAAAAAAGATTAAAAAAAAAAAAAAAAAAAGATTTAAGATAATTAAGGTGTTCCTACAAAGCCATTAGAAAGTGATAGTTTTTGATGATCTACCTTATTTCAAGGATAACTTAGTATGTCCAAAGAAGGATGGGGCATCCTGTAGACATCTTTCTAATCCCTAGTACTTCTAAATACTGTAAATGGAAGTTTGCAGGTGTGACCAGATTAAGGATTCTGAGATGGAGAGATTATTTTTGGACTAACCAGGTGGGCCCAGTACAATTATAGGGGTCCTTATAAGAGGGAGGTAAGAGTGTTAGAGTCAGAGAACGCAGCGTGAGGATAGAGGCATGGCGGAGAGAGGAAGGGAAAGAAGACAGACTTGAGGATGCTATGCTACTGGCTTTGAAAATACAATAAGCAGTTATGTGACACGGAATGCAGGTGGAATCTAGAAGCTGGAAAAGGCAATAAAACAGATTATCCCCTAGAGCCTGACAAAGAAATACAGCCTTCCCAAGCACCAACTTTGGATTTCTGGCCTCAGAACTATTAAGATAACGCTGCTATTTTAAGCTACTATGTTTATGGCAATTGTTACTGTAGCAATAAGAACCTAATAAAGATGCAGTCACAGTCTCATTTTACAGGGATGCCAATGTTTAGAACCAGCCTTCAACACAGATATGTCTTAAATCATAGCTTGAGTTTGCAATTATTGTTATTTTAGCCTCTATAAAGAGTTGACACAGTTTCCATTTTAAACTTGTATCACAGATAATTTCCACCTTAAGAATCAAGTGCTAAACCAGATGAATCACTCCATATTAGAAACAAACAAACAAACAAACAAACAAGGCTGGGTATATGGTTCAGTAGTACAACACTTGCTTCCTCTGTACAAGGCTATGGTTTCAGTCTCAAGCAACACACACATACACAAAAGCCATTTTCTCAATAAGACAGATTCCACTAATCAATAACGAATAGTTCCTTTACATCTGCTTGTTTATCATTTTATCATGCAGATTTTTTTCTCTCTCTTTTTTTGATTTGTGAGGCAGGGTCTCCCTATGTAGTTCAGGATGGCCTTAAACTCATGGTGATCCTCCTGCCTCAGCCTTTTAAGTACTGATTTCATGCAATATTCTAAACACACAGTATTAGAGTGGCTAAGAGACAAGTTTGTATTAGTTAAAAAGCTGGGAAACAGGCAAGTCAAATACTAGGATGAATTAAAAATAACAATACTTTCTATAGAGTCAAAGAATAAACTAACATTCTTTACTTTTTTATGGGGCTGAGGATATAGCTCAGTGGCACAAGCACCTGCCTGGCAAGTGTAAGGTCCTGAGTGTGATTCCCGGTACCAAAAAAAAAAGGAGCCAAACAAATAAAAAAACCAATATAGTGCCAGGCGTGGTAGCCCACGCCTGTAATCCCAGCACTCAAGAGGTTGAGGCAGGAGGATTGTTGCAAGTTTGAGGCCAGCCTGGGCTACAAAGTGAGCTCAAGGTCAGCCTGAACTGCATAGCGAGACCCTGTCTCAAAAACACAAAAACAAAAAAAACCAAAAAACCAATATAGCATCTTTTTAAAGAAACCAACATTCTATACCAGCTTTTAATTAAATTTACCAAATTAATGGGCCTATCATATAATAGGGACAACACCCCATCACTGGACTATAAATTCAATGAGGGAAAGACCATGTGTCCATCTGCTACACCACCATATCCTCAGCACATTATCTGGCACATAGTAGAACACAGTAAATGAAAAAGCTAAATTAGAGATGTGATGTTTAATTTCAATGTGCCAATGTGGCTAGGCTATAGTAAACACATTATTTTAGATGTTTCTGTGGAAGCATTTTTTTCAATGAGTTCCTCATTTAAAATATTAAATTCAGTAAAGCAGTACTTCCCATAATATAGGTGGCCTCATCCAATCAGCAGAATGTCTTAACAGAAAGACTGAGCTCCAAGGGAGGACAGAGAATTGTGCCAGTAGATCGCCTCTGATCTCAAACTGCAAACTCTTGCCCGGCTGATCTGTCCTGCAGACTTTGGATTTGTCAGACCTCCATAATTATAGGAGCCAGTCTCTTAAAACATACACCTCACTGTACATACACACATTTTGCTGTTTCTGTTTCTCTAGGGAACCCTGACTAATACAAGGGAGCATCTTCTTTACCACAAAAGGTAGGACAGAATGACCCAAGAAGTCACAAGCCCTTTCCTTAACTTTTTCAAGTGTATTTGTTTAAACAAATTATTTCTTTTTTTAGTAGAGTTATTTTTATAGTAGTTTATCTGGTAGGTTCAGGTTTAAAACTAAAAGGAATGCAAGAACAAACAACAGGCACTGAACAATGGAATGGAACTTCCTAAGCAATGTCACAAAGTATTTGTCTTAATTTTGTGACAAATACTTTTTTTGGTTTTCCTACATAAGAAATCAATTCCAATGAAAATTATAGCTATCTTTTAGTAAAATTATAATCCAGTTGCCTAGGAATATAAAGAAATTCACTGAATGCAAAGACACTTATGGTACAAAAGATTTTCCAATAGTTTCATCAGAAATAATTGAAGTTATTTTTAATTATTCATAAAAAACTAATGAGTATAATAAAATAGTACAAAAAATAATACAGATGATAATTAAGTTATCTTTTACCTCTTAACTGAAAGACTCTTAGAAATGTTGCTGAAAAACTCGTTTTCTACATCTTGGCTTTCAGAACTGAGTTCAAAATGGATTGGATTTTTGTCAGACGGTTCAACATTCTGAAATGAAGTAGGTCACAAATTGGGATCTGACTTAAATAAAAACATTCTGTTTAGATGAAAAGTTGCTCCAAAACACTGAGAGGTTAAATTCTTTAACTCTCATTTATAAAATGTTCACTTGCCCACTCCCCTACTTTATAAATAGAAGTGAAAATTTAGTCACCTGTATTATGTAATCTACTCAGTAACCAGGGATTTAGTGAATATAACAACTATGAACTGAGGATACCCTCTAAATAAAATAGAAATGATATGTCTCTAAAATAGAAATAAATTTTTATTAGACCTGATTTAAGATGATTATAATTAAAATATAAAAATATATTCATAAGCTGATATAACCCAGAAATTATCTCAAAGTATAAAACAAGATCTGAAAGGAAACACATGGCTATTTAGTGGTAGTAAATATTTTTTGTTTAAAAAAGTGGTCTTTAGTTTTTATATTATGACATTTACAGCTTCAAAGATCTACATTTTTGGTAATCTTCACCTAGATGCATTTCTGTGTAGTTTATTAGCTACAGCAACAATGTATTCCTATTCCTTGGATTATATTATACACTGAATTTTAAGTGTAAAAATTATATATATATAATGTATATATAATTTGTTATAACCACATATTGAAAAATAACAACAAAGAAAACAGTAAAATCACAAAATTAATTCTCAACAGTACAGAATGATACAATATATAAACTACTGATATATTCCTCAAAAATTTTAAAAAGGCACAGGCAAATTATTCTGTGGATAACCTTTGAACCTCTATTATAATCTGGTTCTGGAGATATGGTAGAAGACTTACTAAACAAAAATTAATCATAAATGAATAAAGTTAATATTCAGTGAGACTGATTATAAACAAAGTCTAACACGTTGAATTACCATTTTAAGTGTAAACACCATTAGGTTTAGACTACCAAAATAGAACAGGAAATACCCATTAATGTACTAGGTAATCAAATCACTTACACTGAAAAGATGCAACGTTTCCTTGCTGGTCAGTAAGCGAAACTGAAGGTCAGCTATCCTGCCATCACAAGGGAGGCATTCATAAAACTCAGGTTCCTTATGTGTCAAAGAATAGAGAACTATGATGAAATTTCCAGATTCTGAAAAAACCCTGGACAAAAAAATGCCACTTAATTAAAATTTAATGAAGATAACTCCCCTACTTATATCCCCCTCACATAAGTCTTCCAATCTAGTAAATAGAATAAAAGAGTACAATGATTTAAAAGAAAAATAAGGAACAAATTTAGGCTTTTTAGATCATTAATTTGGGGGGGGGGGTTGCAATGGCAAGCAGAAACACGGAAACAACACCCAGGATTTGGTGGCAGATTTATTTACATTGACAGGCACTGATCAGGATCATTCCCAAAATATCAGGCCCTGATCTCTGCTAGTCTAGGGCTTATACGACGTAAGCAAGCAGGAAGTACAGAAGCAGAATGGCTTATCAGTTGAGCATTGGTTCTTACAATATGCATCATAGGGTTCGTCATGTACTTCAGGATGGCTTTGAACTCACTATGTAGTCCAGGCTGGCCTCAAACTCGAAGTGATCCTCCTGCCTCAGCCTCACCAGTGCTGGGATTACAGGCTTTCCCCACCATACCTGGCTTATATTAATTTTTCATCAAAAATGCATTTATTATGAAATATGTACATATATTTTTTTGCGGGGGGGTATGGGTTATTGAATGCAGCACCTTCTGCTTGCCAGGCAGGCACTTGTTCCATTGAGCTATATCCCTGGCCTTATGAAATATATATTTCTTAGAAAAGCCATCATATAAAACAGGAAGAAGTGAAATGGAAATTGAAAATTAATCCATCCCACTCACCATGTTAGTGCATATACTTTTAGAATTCAGGCACAGTGACTTGGTCCTATATTCCCAGAAGGCTGAGGCAGGAGGATCACTTGAGCCCAGGACTTTGACACGCACCAGAGCAACAATAAGACTGCCTCTCTGTTGTGGTTTTTTGTCTAGATGTATCCCAAAGCCGCATACAGTCATAGGTGGGGCTTTTTCAGAGGTGGCTGAACTTAGAGTGTGTGATGCTGGGATTAAGGGTGTGTGATTACTAAATAAGTCCACTGATTGCTTTGGTAGCACCCTAAGCCTGGTAGCCTAGATCCAAGTATAAAAAGGGGCAGAAAGAAGCTGCTTAAGGTCCCTTGCTTGCTTGCTTTGCTACCTTCTGCACACCATGACCTGTTTCTCTTCTGCAATGCCTGTCTGCCACGCCACCCCGCCTTGTAGCCGGCCTACTACAGACTGAAACCTCTACAAACTGTGAGCCAAATAAACCTTTCCTCCCTTAACTTTGGGTACGAGGTATTTAGTCCCAGCAATAAGAAAAGTGACTAACACAATCTCAACAAAAAAAATGTCTCCCAGAATTTTTCCTTAGGCCTCGTTATTTGCAACTGCTATTTTTTATAATGGTCTATCATATCTCGTCACTATTCTTTATTATATTCAGACATTATTTTTTTTAGTGATGACCTAGTATTGTTTTTATATTTGTGCCATTATCAGTTCTCAAAGACTTTAAAAAATAAATTATTTACTGTATTTCACTATTATTAACATTGATAAAATTAACATTGTTATTATTCCCTAAATGATCCAACAAATATTTCCAAATGTTTATTTGTAAAGTCACCAAGAGTCATTGAGTGCTAGGCATCATGTCATATGCCTGTAATCCTACAACTCTGGAAGGCTGAGGCAGGAGGATTGCAAGTTTGAGTCCAGTGTTGGCTACTTAGTGAGACTCTTCTCAAAATTAAAAATTGAAAAAGGGCTGAGGATATAGCTCAGTGCAAAGGCTCTGGATTCCATTTCCAATACTACATATACAAAAGAAAAAAGTCCTTAAAACTACTAAAACCAAAGCCAATTATCTAAAAAAACTTTTAGTAGTTGTCACTATTTTATAAAAGTTTAATGAGAAATAAAATTAGACTAGCCACAAAACAAAGCAGAGAATAGAGAAGCAGAACAACTCTCTCTGGATTCAGGTAAGACCACTGCTTAGAATTCTGCAAAGTACCTTCTTAAATTATGGCAGTTATTAAGAGCTCTGGTATCAAAGAAATTGCCTAATGAATGTTTCAGATTGAACAAAGGATAAGAGTGTTTCAAAATTAATTTTACTGGGTACTTACTGTCAACAGGAACTTAAAACTAAGTTAGTGACTGATAACAAAACTTAACAAAAGGCACATGTAACAATGCACACCTGTACTCTCAGTACTCTCGGAGGCTGAGGCAGGAGGGTTGCAAGTTCAACCTCAGCCTGGGCAACTACTGACTTAGGAAAACGGTGTCTCAAAAACTCTTTGTGTCTGCCTGGCAAGCATGAGGTCCTGAGTTCGCTTCCCGGCACCACCAACAACAAAAACTCTGTGTGTGTGTGTGTGCATGTGTGTGTTTGTCATCATCTAACTGTACTAATCACAGAAAAATACCCTAACATTTGTTTTATTACAAATAAAACTAATTCTATTGCAAAGGCAAAATAAAATGTAAAAGTAGAACTATGAAAGCACCTGAAGATACAAGACATTTAAAAATTTAATAATAGTCCATGGACAAATATATTTTAAGCAAGATAGAGAAAAGATTGATAAACTGATGTAAAAAAAAATTCTACTGCAGCTGGGCCTGGTGGCGCATGCCTGCAATCCCAGTGCTTGGGAGGCTGAGGCAGGAGGATTATTGCAAGTTTGAGACCAGCCTGGACTACAAAGTGAGCTCAAGGCCAGTCTGAACTCCATAGCGAGACCCTGTCTCAAAAAGACCAAAAAAAAAAAAAAAAAATTCTACTGCAAGTGTACTGAAAAATAAAGCTAAGATATGATTTTTTTTAATACAATGGAGTACCATAAAAAAGGATAAACGAGACATTTCTAGGTAAACGGATACAGTTTTAGACCATAAATAAATCAGATACACATGTTCAAATACTGCATGGCTTCTCTGGTGTGAATCCAAAAGTGTAGATAAGGACTAAAATGTATAACAGACACTGCGAAATAGGAAGAAAATGTTTAAGTGGGAAGGGGAAACTAGAGAGGGGCAGGGAGTAAGGAAGAAAAGGAAAAGGAAAAAATGGAAACAAAGCTTTTGTAAATAAGGAGGGGAAGAGAGGTTAAGGGTGGGGAGAGGAATGGGGGAAAAAAGAACCAAGATATGCATGCCCAGGTACAAATTCCATACGATGACTGTTATTACTATGTGTATCTACAATGTACCAATAAAATTAATTTTTAAGAATTCTGGTGCTGGGGGTGTAGCTCAGTGGTAGAGTCCTTGACTGGACTGAATGAGGTCCTGGGTTGGATTCCCAACAATGCCAAAAAATAAAATAAGGTCTGGAAAAAATATTGTTAATAAAAAGTAAATGAAACAATTGAAAATTTTGGAGATTTTACACATAGTATTACATATTAATATGTAGTTTATATTATATACAACAAGAGAAAAAGAGGACAGGGGAGCATGGGAGAGAAGAGAGGAAGAGGGAGAGTGGAAAGAGGACAGGAAGAGAGATCTTACAAATATGAAAACGCAATTCAAGAGAAAAATGGCAAAAGACAAGAACAGGCAGTTCCCAGAAGTGTGAAACACTGGGAAGACCTGATGGGCCTCCCTCTCTCAGCTCACCTGCCACTCTTCCCTTCTCTACACGGGGGCTCTTGCTGTTCCTTGAAGTTTAACGTGCCTCTTTCACCCTTAGCTTTTACTTAAGGTATACTATGCCTCAGGCGTTGCCTCAGAGAGCAACTTGGCTTTTTCCTTGTCTCTGCCTCCCTGACCACCTAGTTTTTTTAAAGACACATACATTCAACATCATAATCAGGCCATCAAATTTAATAGTCAACATGAGGGGAGCAAGAAAAAAAGGTCTACAATGCAACCCTTGGTTTGAACGCTTTACTGTTTCCACAAAATAAACTAAAATGACCTGTTACACAGTTAGTCACAAATGTACAGTTCTTGAGGTGTTTTTGCCCAGATACATGAGTATTATCTAAAACAAGTATTGTTTGTAGCAGGGAGGCCCTGCCATAACTGTGCTTGGCTGAATTCACTTAAGTCTTGTGACCCTGGTCTTTCTCTGGATCTCTTTTCCTGCTGAGCTGTTTTCAGGTGTTTCTGACACTGCCATAGTTAGTGGATATTGTAGGAACTGCCAGTCACCTTGGTTTTGTGGCTTGGACAAGAACTGGCTTCCAGCATCATAGGTGCCAGAGGTCCTGCCTCCAAGTTTTTCTCTCTTCATGGGTCCAAAATGTAAAGATTTGTAATTGCTAAAATCACTGCAGCTTCTGCTACTATGAAAAGTGCTTACATTATTACCACTGTAGTCATTGCTATTGCCAATGTATCTACCACCACAGCTGTTACGACCACTGAGGATTGTTTCTGTTTTAACATTTAGGTCTTTGAAGAAGAAGCATTGTTAAAGAACAGGGTCACAACAGTTCAGTGAATTCAGCCAAGCACAGTTGTGGCAGGGCCTACCTGCTACAAACAATATTTGTTTTAGACAATATTCACGCATATGGACAAAAAAACCACCATGACCATTAAGCTTTCTCCATAACCAAAAAACATCACTGCCCCCAAAAGCAAAGTTCCTAAAGTGCTTGGTGTTGGGATTTCTTATTATCACGCTTCCTGAGTGTTCCCCATTGCTCAAAATAGCTTCGCAGATGCTCATCAGTTGTTTCAGAGCTTGGTCCTCCAATGAAGAGCTTCTGCAGCTGCTCAGGGTACTAGAACACTAATTTAGACAGGAAAGCAAGAGAGACTTTAACAATGCCTCTTCTTTCAAAGACCTAAATGTTAGAACAGAAACAATCTGTTGGATGATAGCAAAAGTAGAACTCTTGAAAACATAGGTATAGGTGAAGATTTTATAAATAAAACCCTGACCATACAGGAAGTATTACAAAGAATCAACAACTGGGATCACATCAAATTAAAAAGCTTTTGCAGAGCAAAAGAAATCACCCACAGCATAAAGAGACAACCCCCAGAATGGAAAAATATTTTACCAGCTACTCCTCAGACAAAGGATTAACATCTAAAATATAGT